AAAGCAGTTTTTAGGATCAGAACATTGATCCTGACGATGTACCATACCATGACACATTGACTTGACGAGAATTACAACTTCTGTGAAGAGACCGTGAATTAATTCTGTGAACAGACGAGAGAGATGCACTAGTTCGAGTCAATAGCTAAGAAAAAAATGATCCGTTTCAATCTGGTGCAGGTCCTTATCACAGTGGAAGCCGTCACTGCCTCGTTTATGATTTTGCTCGAGCATACTACATTTAATTTTGGCTCTAGCCAAAATAACTTCGCGAAAGTGTATCGCAACATAGAAGTTTCAAGTTCATCAGGTACTCTTTTTACCCGATTGAGTCATCCAAGGCATATATGGCTGCTACTACAAGTTGCTCTTTGTCTAAGAAAGAACCCGAGTCTCTTGTGATCTTTGTGAACTTAAACTTTGTTACACAGCGCGACGAGTGATATGAAGTCACACTAGTATCGCTTCGATCTCAAAGTAACCCTTGATTGGTATCAGTGATCCGCAAAATGATAAAGAGGAACTTATCTTGTGCTCGGGAAGCGAAGAGCGACTAATCAATTCAAGAATCACCGTCTCTTGGATATCTGTAACATGTTATATGAAGGATATTGCCCTAATGAGCGTTATGTGAAGGTTGTCCCGACGGAGTATTATATGAGGGGATGTTCCGAGGAGGTCGACCGAAGAGAGACTGCCGAGGTGTCGTCGGAATAATAACCGAGGAAGGGAACCTGTGGCCTTGGCAACCTGGCGTATATAAATAGGACGGCTCTGTCCGTCTGCAATAGGATCGAAGAAAGAGTATGTCAGTATATACAGGACATGATCATGAAGAGAAGAAGTCAAGCTGAGGAATTATCAGCAGAGTCTGATAAGGAGTCAGGTTCTAAACTTGATAAGAGGAGGTCCACTCTTGACACGTTCGTAAACCTATCCCCAAAGATCAACCATTACCAGCAAAAAGGAAGAATGGGTTCTCTGTTAGTCACGTGTAAAGAAAGATCAAACACTTCAGAGTCGTGCATATACGTTCAACACTTGTCGGCGATCACGTGATTGGAAGCAAAATCTATCCGACATATGATGCAAAACTCTTCTGAATCAATGAGGCCAACGATTGTTTCAGAATTGTGTCTTTCTGTCAACGTCGGTGATGGAAGTATGAAACATTTGTGAGACGCGAATCCTACTACAACAACTAGGATTAACGTTACATTTACAAGCTTGGCGACCGTGCTGTGAAATATCTCACATTTCCCCGAAGTCTAACATCGGTAAGTGGGAAAATAGCGTCGGATAATCGGTAAGTTCGTCAAAAATAGAGCATATAACTGACTATGAAACGAGGGGTTGTGAATTTATAGCTGAAATAAGTAAGTTCATTGATTACTCGCCTATCGAGCACCAGCTCCAATAAACATGCACAACCACTGCCGTCCCCTAAATGACTCTAAATGTTTCCATCTCGGACAGATTCAAGGGGAGTTCCATGACAGAGAGTAAAGATCTGCTTCGTATTTGAACTGACAAATGATGCGATCACATAGAGGAGGCAAAGAACTGCAACTATAGTGATGGTCCACTATCATCGATCATTATGAAGCTCGAGAATGTTTTTGATGAAATGTGGCTGAACAGAGCTCAAACATGGTCATTACAAATGTGAGGGATCTCGTTGATGTAGTGATATGTGACGACCAAGTCAGGCAACTTCTCTCTGCAAAAATGCAAACCTGGTGGCTGAGTTGCAACAAGTTGGACTCCTTATTTAGTCTAGTGGGGGACATATATCCCCACTAAGTACTATGCTCAAGCAGGGCTTCACTTCCTCTGTGATGATCAGTCGAAGACGTGTTTAAGGTGGAGACTACTGCGAAAAGGCTGCAAAAAACTCCACTTTGGACTATATAAGCAGGCCTTCTCACCACCGATTTGCCACAGTATTTTTTTTGTTTCAAAGATGTCTGACCGTAACATTGGGCAGGAGGATGTCATAGACAACCAAGGAGACCCGTTTACATCTCCACATGTTCCAACCAGTCCTGGTGTTGAGCGATCACAGACTGTGGATCCAAATCAGCCACAAACATCGTCATCTCCCGCCGAGAATCCTCGCAGAGGGGACCCACGCGAAGTGAAATTCGACGCTGCACGTTTCAATAGTATCGTCAAGAATGAGACGGAAGGCGGTGAGGCTGTTCCCTCTCTGGGAGTCCCTTCTCCGGAAGTCCCTTCTCTGGCATTGACTATTCGGAGGGGTTCTTCTCTGGGAGCCCCTTCTCCGGGGGTTCCTTCTCTGGGAGCCCCTTCTCTGGCATTGACTATTCGGAGGGTTTCATCTCTGGGAGCCCCTTCTTCGGGAGCCCGTCCTTGGTCATTGCCTTTTACGAGATATACTTCCCAGGGAATTCGTCTTTCAAGGCCCCTTTCTTCAGCCCCTTCTCCGCGAATCGCTTCAAATAGACACAGCTCTTTGAGATTCGTATCAGCTGGAAGTGCAAGAAGCTCGTGGAGCCGGGCTTCGGGAGAGTTATGGTACACGACGCATTTCACACTGCTGGCACAAGGAAAGAGTGTATCGCTTTTGAGCAGTGAGTATGGTAACTTTGCAGCTGTTAACCCAATCTTGTGGAAGAAAAATTGGTGTCAAGTACTCGAAGAATTGAGCTTCCTTGGAAGCATTTCGAGGTCGCTCTGTGAACAAGACCGTTCCTTTCGTGAAACAGCAAATGCATTTAAGTTGCTTCATTTGCTGGATATACTAACGCGAGGCTTTCACAGCATCGCTCCTCATATTGATGGAATAGGAGTCGAACCAGATGAAAAGGAAAATGCGAGTTCACATTTGGTCAAGCTTTGCAGCAAGAGGCTTTCTTGTAAGCGACACATGCACTATATCTATTTTCAATTCTACATGTCGCTTAAACTTCGGCTGGCTCTCATTCCTAAATGTTGGGCTGACATAAATGGGGTTGACATGCAAGTTCCGGAACGGATCCAGGAAGTCTGCGATATTATGGAAGACTTACTATTTGTGTCGTGGGCGCGAGGCAGAGGCTCCAAGCCGATTGATCCTGCACGATTCTTCGATCAAATTGCTGGGCTAGGCAAGAAAGATCGATCGGTAATTTTAAATAAGTTGGCCAAGGTGCTGTTGGATTTCGAAGTGGACCTCGGCTACTAGTCTCCTGAGAAATGCCCTGATCTGGTACATCAAGTTTGTTTACACGTATCCGCATCGAATCTGTAAAAGAAATCTATCGTTGGTTGGGACAAGCTCCCATTGGCGACTCTGGTAGACTTGCTTTGGAGAACTACTTGCAGTTTGATGAGCCAGCGAACATCATTGACAAAATCTGGTGCATATCATCTGGATTTGGCAACCCCAATTGGTGAAGAGTATCTCCAGGCTCTGGTTTGCTTTTGGTGTTTCATCAGCTGTGCCGCTCACAATTCTTCTTCCAAGATATATTTTCCATCGACACCAGTAGTGAGCTTGTTAGAAGACTTGTGCATGAAGCAGTCAGGAGCATGGATAAACTTGCTTGGCTCGTTCACATGTTTACGATTAATCGAATACATTTGCAATACCTTCAGTTTTATCTGAATTTATTCATCCTTCTAGTTACATGATGAGCAGTTTGAAAAACGAGTGGAGGGCTTCAATACTTCTACCATGTTTACCAAGGAAGATTGTTTGGAAGAGTTCAGAGTCATTGCATCTCATTGTGGTGCATGCACCGAGGATACAGAGCGTCTATTGAATGCTTTGGAAGAAATTCCCGATATTATTACCATCCACTTATGCCGTAATCTCGTTAGCGGCATAACCAAAATGTCTAGGAGGAGTGGTATAACAGTCTTTGTTGTCTTTCAAGAAGCACCTTGACTTAGATTTGCAAACTTCCGGAGCAACTTAATCAATAATGGGTCCAATGTTCCATTCAAATTGAGCCATAGAGGGTCAAATGTTTTGGGAGCCCACTTTTGGGGTAATGCTGCGAAAATATACTAGGAGGGGCATTTTACTGTCGTCCTCCTCGTCGTTGTCATCATCGGATACCCGCCGAGGAGTTCATGATGAGTTTAATCGCATATTGTGCCATCTTCGGCGTCGAATTAAGCATTTGCTCCTTGCGTTTTGTTCCCAGAGTGGTTTCAGTTTGCACTGTTTGTTCGGATCATTTCTTTCGGCTTTCAGATGACTCGCCTATCTCTTGTCTTTCTTGTTTTAATGCAAGAAATGCTCACGGCATTTACGAGTACTCTACTGCTCGACTCAATGGCGTGGTAGAAATACATAATAAAATACAGATCGTCCCAGAAGGCCATTTCAGACCTTGATGGCATGTGGGTTTACGTCCAGAAATGTACTAAGATTCCCGAAAGAAGCCAAGCTCTCGAAGTCTCCAGTATGCAACGGATCGTAAAAGTGGATACCGGAGAACACTACAATTAGTTTCTTAGATAGAGTAGCTAATGAAGCACACCAGTATCAAGCACTCTTTTCACGAACGAAACCCACACAAGTTCAACATGTCACATACATTACCGTTTCTAGCAATCCCTCATCAAGGAATCATTTTTTATTTCGAAAATGAAGAACACACGTTCGCATGAAAGGTTTCACAATATACCCTCTACGTATGTCCGAACGTTTTGCACCCAAGCCGTTGTGCCGGATGGGACCACAGCATGCGGATCTACGGAAGCGGGGCAAATAGGACTAAAAGCAGCAAGGCCCATCCGGTGGTCCGAACTGGTCTCATAATAGAACCCCAGCCTTTAATAGTTTCGAAACACCGATCCAACTTTCATCCTCCGGCTCAAAGGCCCAACGGTCTCCTTATGATTTTTGACCACATTTCCTGCACACAAGCTCGTTTAAGGCCGCCATCACCCCCGCGCTTCAAGATCGTGATATCATCCTCGGAACAACTATATAAGGCTCCGATCCCACACGAGTTTTCAACGACAACCACTTTTTATTTATTACCATGGACGCCAGCTGCGGGCCCTCAAGCGCCCTTTCGCAGCTTTCAAAACACACCCAGCGTGACACCTCTCTCCAGCATGGATTGGTGAACAGAAACGAAAATCAGCAGCACCGACCAGGATTCAGAAACCAGCCGGGCTTCGACGCCCTGCTCAACCAGGAGTTTCAGAACTTCAGCGGCCGGACCAGCGGAGCACCAGCTTTCCAGGACCAGTTTGCTGGAGCAGGCCCTATACATCCACAGCAACACCAGCAGCATCGTCAACCCAATCAGAGACAGCAGAACCGGTGGATCCAGGACTTCAACGGACTTTCTTTGGAGAACAAGCCTATAAACGCTCAAAGCGGGCAGGGCCAGCAGGGCAAGTCTGATTGGCACAGACAGTTTATGAACCAGATGAACAATCAGCCCCAGGTTCAGCAAAACAGAGCCAACTACCAAATGGGCCAGATGGGCCAGATGGGCCACATGAACCAGATGGGTCAATACAGGTACCAGGGAATGCAGAACATGCAGCCACAGAACGAAAAAGCCCAGGTTGAGGCAGATCTTGTGGGAGACAGCGAGGCGCTTGATTCTCATTTTGACCAGCTCGAGAAGGAGCTAGCGATGGAGGAGCAGGTGGATTCTGAGGAGGCGCTGATTAGCGAAATCGACAAGGAGCAGTTTGTTCAGGCTGCCAAGGAGGTGCAGAAGTCCATGAGAGGTGAGAGCAACCAAAGGCTGGAGGAGACCACGCTGAAGTTCGAGGAGCTGAACTTCTTGAAACTCATGAACAACATCTCGGACCGTAAAGTGGAATTGTCCAGAGAGGGCGACAAACTCGTGGAGGCTGCGTCAGGTGAGGATATCAGACAACACTTGAGCGATCCTCTCAAGTACGAGAAGGATCCCAACTACCACCAGCAAGAACACGAGCCTCTGGTGCATGGTGGATATTCAGGAATGCTGCTCCGCCCTGATGCTGTGCCCGAGGCGACCAAGGAATCGGAAAACGTCCGCAACCATCTACCAGACCCCTTGGCCCACATCAAGGATGGTCTGCTTCCGGACAACTTGAGTGCTTTGCAAGCTGCCAAGATCATTTCTGGCGGTCAGGTCAGCGGAAACACATGGATGGAGGACGAGTCATGGCTTGGAGTTCCAGGAGGAATTAACAGCGGCAACAGTTCTAGTGGGAACAGTATAATGGAGCCTCACTGGCAGGAGGTGTACGACGATTACCGCCACGATGACGACTACCATTGAGAGAAATGAGACAACAACGATGGCCACGTTATAGAGGCGATCTGGTTGTCATGTCACGAATAAACGACTGTGCATACTGGAACGTAGGTGATAAGGTGGATGAACAATTAGTCTACAATTGGCTTTAGTTCAGGCGATTACACTATTCACCTTAAAGCGAGAGTTCCACGCTTTCATAGATGTGAATTTAATTAATGCTTATCATAAACTGAAGGAGAGAAGATAGATATTTCAGGTTTCTGCATTCCTGAACCATCAAGATGCAAATCAGCCCGCTACAGCCAGACCCTACCTTTTGTGGCTTATACAAAATAAAAATACGACAAAAACAAAAACCTTCAAACTCACCAAATCTTCACCCACCAAATCTTCACCTTAAAGTCACAAGACCCTTAAACGAAATTTCAATTTTATCCACCTAATACATCATCATACTCATTCCTTTTGCAACCATTCCTGTTGTGTCGATCTCTCCTGCGTACGTCACTTGACACTCAGTTATGAAACAGGTTACGAGGAATGCCCAGGCCACTATGGGCCCAACAATGGGTGAAAAAAGGAAAACTATTTTAGCCCAGACTGCATACACGGAGCCCAACGGTCCGGTGATGTTGCAGATCTTGAAATAAGGTACCAAAGCAAGATTCACAAGACAATTCAACAATTCCCAACATCAAAGGGTCCCTTTCGTTCATATCTAAAGGGGAAGAAGATACACGGACCTGCACAGGAGACGGACCACAGCAGTCCATCGACGTACAGCTTATAGTTTTCACTTATGCGGCCTGCAGGATACACATTTCTTTTTCCAAATCTTACTGGCCAGTTCTCTCCCGAAAAACGTAATGGTGCCGCCGTTACGTAGATAGTGGGGATCTAGAATGGCCGAAATGCCGCTAGGTAGAGCAATTCAGCAAGTAGAGATGGGATGACGAAGTTCGGAAAAACCCAGGGCGAGATCAGCCTCGGGTCAGTGGAGATTTCGGACTTTCTTGACAGCATCACCGAAAAATCAGCATGCCCTCTGTAAGACCAACCCCTCCTGCGGAGCCACTGTCGGAGGTCCAGGCCTGCGCGTTTCTTTTACCCACATCCACCACTGCCATTTCTTTCTTTTTCGTGATGTAATCACACATTGCTTAAGGCATCGCCGGCGCCGTCCTGCAGAATACATGGGCTGGGTTAATCCGGCCGCCGTTTCTTTTTCTTGACATATATAACTCCCCATTTCCTGCTCAATTGACTCGAATTTTTAGTATCACAAACATCATGACTGCTCCATACCCAATCCCAAAGCCATTCAGAATCTGCATTATCGGTTCCGGTAACTGGGGTACCGCCGTGGCCAAGCTTGTGGCCGAGAACACCGCTGAAAAGCCTGAAATTTTTGAACCAAAGGTCAACATGTGGGTGTTTGAAGAGGAGATCGAGGGCAAGAAGTTGACTGAAATCATCAACACCGACCACGAGAACGTCAAGTACCTCCCAGGCGTCAAGTTGCCTGAGAACCTTGTTGCCAACCCAGACATCGTCTCCACCGTTGAGGATGCTGATCTCTTGGTTTTTAACATTCCTCACCAGTTCCTTCCAAAGACCTGCAAGCAGCTTATTGGCAAGGTGAAGCCTACCGCCAGAGCCATCTCCTGTCTTAAGGGCTTGGAGGTTGACGCCAATGGCTGCAAATTGTTGTCTCAGTCCATCACCGACACTTTGGGCATCTACTGTGGTGTCCTTTCTGGTGCCAACATCGCTAACGAGGTCGCCAGAGGTAGATGGTCCGAGACCTCCATTGCCTACAACAAGCCAGACGACTTCCGTGGCGAGGGCAAGGACATTGACGAGTACATCTTGAAGGAGGCTTTCCACAGAACCTACTTCCACGTCAGAGTCATCAAGGATGTCATTGGTGCCTCCATTGCTGGTGCTTTGAAGAATGTCGTCGCCTGTGCCGCTGGTTTCGTCGAGGGCGCCGGCTGGGGTGACAATGCCAAGTCTGCCATCATGAGAATCGGTCTTGCTGAGACCATCCGTTTCTCCTCTTACTGGGAGAAGTTCCACATCCAGGGTCTTTCTGCTCCAAACCCCTCCACCTTCACTCAGGAGTCTGCCGGTGTTGCTGACCTCATCACCACCTGCTCTGGTGGTAGAAACGTCAAGGTTGCTCGTTACATGATCGAGAACAAGGTTGACGCCTGGGAAGCCGAGAAGAAGTTGCTCAACGGCCAGTCTTCTCAGGGTATCATCACCGCCAAGGAGGTGCACGAGCTCTTGGTGAACTACAAGCTTCAGCACGAGTTCCCATTGTTCGAGGCCACCTACAACGTCATCTACGAGAACGCCGACATCAACGAGTGGCCTGTTCTCTTGGAGCAGGACGCCTAAACCAGCATTGTATACTAGTCACAGATAGAATAAATTATAGAGTTTGAAAAGCAGTGTAGAGTTATTTGGGAGGTAACGATAAGGTTGGAACGAGGAAGATTTGACGAGGAGGATTTGACGAGGAGGATTTGACGTCGTCTTGGTGCAATTAGTTTCTTCACAACATGACAATCTAATAAATTTTAAGAAAATCCAAAATTTTACGATGCTTTCTAGATGGTGCCCACTAGCGGATAACTATAAGGTAAAATACTATACGGTAAAAGATAGATCTGCCTCATCAATTATAAATTGCATGGACTGCCAAAGAACGGTATCTTTATCCATTTCCCAGATATTCTCAATCCGGCTAACCAAATCCAAAAGTAAACGAAACACTCTAGGTTTCAAGTGCCAGTTTGATCTAAAAGTGCACTCAAATACCACTACTATCATTCGAGACCGACAGATCTGAAAAGTGCACTTCTTCAGATGCGATAGCTATCTTCAACAAAGCCTACGAAACACCAGTAACTTCCACAATCGTCCAATCCAATCACGGAAGACCACCACCCCAATGACATGTGACCTGGTCATCAAAACCAGATAACGAACCAGATAACGTGAGTTTGACAGATCTCATAGATCTAGCGAGACCCTCACTTCTCAACTCTCCACCAACACAGTCAACCACCTCCACCAACAATCCACCATCTCCACAAAACAAAAAAAAAAAAAGGAAAAAAAACCAAAAGAATCACCAAAATCTCCCCATCGAACCACAAAACCTCCATCCCTCCATCCTCCATCCCCCCATCCTCCATCCCCCTGGTCATCCCACACGCCGATCTACCTCAGCCGTTCATTGCGAACCCTTTTCGCAGCCATTTCCCTCCATTCACCAAAACACCTTTCCACACAAAAACGCCATTTTCCCGTGCCTTCCCGTCCCTTCCCAAAATCTCCCCTCCTCCCCGCCGCCAGTTCCCCCCACGGTCCAAATTTCCCACCGTTTCCCCGTCCATGTGATTTTCACGTGTCGCCCACACATGCCGGTTCGACCGACTCACCTCCAACCTTTCTCCACAAATCCACCCCAGATGACCGACACAGACGTGCTAGGCCACCTCCGAGCATACAAAACGCAGAACTACCTGCTGGGGCCCGTCAGCGTGTGGCACCGTGTTCCGGTCGTCCGAAGAGCCCTGGTTTTCATCCTTCTCTTTGTCGGTCTGGTTGGTGAGCTTCGGGTTGTTTTGACCAAGCGGTCGCTGAAGCTCCGGACGTTTCCAGGTCACATCTCGCTTCCGGGCGGCAAAGCAGATACAGGCTTGGAGCTGCCGTGGCAGGTGAGTCGCCGTGAAATGAGTGAAGAAATCGGCCTCAGCGAAGACAACGACTACTTGGAAAGCAACTACGGTTTCACCATCGAACACATCAACGAGATGCCGTGCTACCTTCTGCGGACGATCCTGGCCGTCAGGCCGTGCATTGGGTTTATGAAGTTTAAGGAAAATGGGCGTAACAGGGAGGAGTTGTTGGAAAGACTCAAGCTTAGGGTCAATCCGGGAGAGAGCTCGTCCATCTTCAGTTGTCCGCTTCGTGACTTTCTCTACCCTGCCGTGGAGGAAACCGCCCAGGAGGCGCTCGAAAGAACCCACTATTTGATCAAATGGGCCGGCATTCCATGGCATTTGCGTTCGTACACTTTTCCTCAATTGAACATCAAGGAGGCCGCGTGGCTCCAGGGCTTCAAGGATATCTCTGCTTCCGAGGAGGAGTGTTCGGCCGACGAGGACGCCAAGCTGGCCCAGACGCCGCCTCCTACTCCTCGAAAGAAACAGAAAAAGGACTTATCGTCTTGGGGCCAGCTTGGATCTCGTGTGGACGAGGAAACCAATACCAAAATCTACGACGTGTGGGGACTTACGGCGAATATTCTCCATGACTTGGCCGAAGTCGTCTACCTCAGCCATTCTGTGAATGGCAGACAGCTTGGAGAAGAGGAGCTCATACACAGTTTGTGGAAGCACGGGCAGCTCAAGGGCAAGGTGCGGTCGGAGGAGGAGGCTGCATTGATCTCGCTGACGCCTTCGGATAAGGTTTCATTCAGCGATGTGATGCCCCGGTCCGAGTTTCTTCGTCTCAAGCGGTTGTACAAGATGTAGGCCATCTTGAAGGAGGCAAGCAGGATGAGCCGCTAGTGATTGATGCGCTACAATTGAGGATCCTTGATCTTAATGGGACGAGGCCTGCTGCATTGAATATGGCATCATCAGCACTTCATGCTTCTTTAATTGGCTATGCATTTGAGTGAGATCCGTGACTCTCACCGCTCCCCTGGACGAACAACCGACACATCCAGCAATTTCTCTAAAACTCGACATCTCAAAACTTTTGAAGTTTTCGACCTTCACATCTATCTAGAATACATATGGCATGGGTGCAAATGTAGTGCGCACTGTACACAGCTGCATCATTATCACCACTTTTCATGAGTCAAGATCAGGACGACCTTGTGATCCAGCTTCTAGAGCGGCTAGATCGCTACGAAAAACTAGCCAATGACAGCTTTCGTGTGAACTTCATCACCGGCATGCAGCATCTCAGCAGAGCCAACTTCAATAGTGAAAACAGGAAGTATGGCATGGACTCGCTCGATCGAAGGCCTTATGATGCCTGTAAGGTCGTGGAGAGCAACGGAAGTTTTAAGCTTAGGGATAAATTGAAGGAATTGAAGGAGAAGAAAAAGCTGGAGCTCGAGAAGGAGACGCTGGATTCGGAAAAGGAGAATACACTGGAGGACCAGGCTCTCAGACATAGGAAGAAGGATTCAGCCAAAGGCGAGAAATCCGAGCCAAAAAGCAAAATAGAGGGTGTTTCTGAAAAAAGTATCGAACCTTCGTCCCTCCGAGACCCGATCTACCAATTTGGCGTCCTTGTGCCCTACCAATTGCGTAATGCCCAATCGTCCTTCAACGACTCCTTGACCGACATTATCACCATGGTGAACCTCCGGCAGGAACTCACCGAATTGATACAAAAAATTGAATCTACGGGTGCCGACAAATCTACGGACGCCTCCGCCTCCTAATATCTATAGTGCATGCATTACCATTATTCGCTGAACAAATCGCTATCGTTTTCGTAATCGCTGGGGTTGATTTCAGGAGCATCCGAGTCGCTGGCCTCGCTGCCGCTTTCTTCCACATCAGCATCGCCCGGGGCAGATTCGCCGTTCTTTCTGGCCAACTTTCTAGCCTTTTTGGCTTCCTTCTTGGCCAATTTCGCCTCAACGTTGGCTTTCTGCTCCTTTCTTCTCTCGGCCTTCTCCTGCTGTCTCTGCTGGTGCCTCTTCTCCAATTCGGCCTCCTCCTTCTTCGTCTTGGTGATTCTGGAATGATATATCGTCTTGCCGCCAATCATGGAGTCTTCGATCTTGACGAGGTTCATGTTGATACGAGGACCCAACTCGGTGAGCTTGATGGCCCTTTTTCTTGTTGTGGTGACGTCGCCGTCGGAATTGGCGGAAATGCCAGCTTTCTTCACGAGATTGTTCTGTTCGTTTTGCACCTCAACAACTGCATCGTCTTCCACTTCACTGTCTGAGGTCTGGCCGCCCACGGCGTAGGGGTCCAAGATCAAATCGGAGATATCCTGTGCTTTTGTCATGATCGGGAGCTTCTTGTGCGTCTGGTGGGAGTTGATCAACTTCTTGATGTTTCTGCTTTCCTCCACCATCTTGGTGTCGATGGCGTAGTGTCTCAATTCGATTTCGCCGTCTTCCTTTTTGCTGATGAGGAGAACTCGCTTGATTGTGTTGACCTTCGTCGTCTGCGGCTGGATGGGTGGAAAAAGGTTCTGCAATATGGTGATCATCAACTTCTCGTGGTTTTCAGCATCATTGACTTTTTTGAACCCGTTCATCACAAGCAAAGGGGGCTCGTGGAACGCAGCAGAGTCTCTGCCCACAGACTTGGGGTGTTTCAATATTCTCTGAACGTCCTTGACCAAAGCATACGAGTTCACCTTGAATTGAAGACATGGACCCTTGGGCATCTTGCCGATTCTCAAGGAGACGTTTCCTGAGCTCTCCGACTGTTTGAACACGAAAAGGTCCGAAACACCCAAAGGCCCGGACATCACCATGAAGTCCTTGAGCTTGTTGGCTTTTCTTTCTCGCAAACTGATGGCGGTATGTGGTTGCATCACAAATCTGAAGTCCTTTACTAGCTGGGTTAGGGCGTGATTTTTGAGCGAAGTGCCTAGCGAGAGCACCATGGAGCGGGGAATCTTGGCCAACTCTTCAGCCGAGGGGGGCTGGTGAGTTCTTCTTTTTGTTCTTCTTTTGGCCATGCTGAAAAGGTGGTTTCTGGTGGGGATTAGTCTGGAAAATAGGAAGCCATCGCGATGATAGTGGACACACCCGTACACCAGCTTACCTCAGGACATTTAACCCTCCGTCAATCCAGCCAAAATTGACCGGAATGGGTTGTAATTTGGGCAGTGGGCTAAGTGGACGCTGTAGGGAACGAATATGTTGTTGGTTTTGTTACCAGACGCCTGTGTGGCTCAATAGGCGGAGGGATGGGGTTGTCCCACCTGCAGTCCGCACCGATAAACAGCGATGCTCTGCTCAAATCAAAAACCAACCATGGCGATCAAAACCCAGCAGAAAAAGAAGGAGAAATTCACCGCCAAAAACAAAGATGCTCTTGCGCTTGCAGAGAAAATCAAGGAAAACGCCTTGAAACAGAAACTCGCCCAGAAAAAGCAGGCCGCCAAAGACAACGCCATCAAGCCAGAAGCCACAGAGGTTTCTGTTTCCGACAGCTCCAAAAAGTTCGAAACCTTCAGCGAACTCAAGCTTATCCCCGAGCTTCTCGAGCTGATCCAGCAGATGAAATTCACAAAGCCCACGCCCATCCAGGCCGAGGCTATTCCGCATGCTTTGGAAGGAAAGGATATTATTGGTCTTGCCGTTACAGGATCCGGTAAAACAGCAGCTTTTGCCATCCCCATCTTGCAGTCGCTTTACAACGACCTGTACCCGTACTATGGGCTTGTTTTGGCGCCCACGAGAGAGTTGGCGTACCAGATCAAGGAGACCTTTGATGCTCTCGGAGCAGCTATGGGAGTCAGAACCTGCTGTGTGGTGGGTGGTATGGACATGATGGACCAGGCGAGAGACTTGATGAGAAAACCACACATTATCGTGGCGACCCCGGGCAGAATCGTGGACCACTTGGAAAACACCAAGGGTTTTTCGTTGAGAAGACTCAAGTACTTGGTCATGGACGAGGCCGACCGTTTGTTGGACCTTGATTTCGGCCCTGAGCTCGACAAGATCTTGCGTGTGATCCCCAGAGAAAGAAACACCTACCTTTTCTCGGCCACGATGACGGGAAAGATTGAAAAGTTGCAGAGAGCCTCGCTCAGGAACCCCGTGAGAATCGCCGTTTCTTCCAAATACCAGACCGCCGATAACCTTGTCCAGCTGATGATGCTTGTCAGCGACGGCTACAAAAACACGTACTTGATCCATCTCCTCAACGAGTTCATGGGCAAGCTGATCATCATTTTCACCAGAACATGTGCCCACTCGCAGAGAACCGCCCTACTAGCCAGAATCCTTGGATTTTCCGCCGTTCCCTTGCATGGTCAGCTCACACAGTCGCAGCGTTTGGGCTCGTTGAACAAGTTCAAATCGGGAAAAGCCAACATCTTGGTCGCTACCGATGTGGCAGCCAGAGGTTTGGATATTCCTTCTGTGGATGTGGTGATCAACTACGACATCCCCACAGACTCCAAGGCGTACATCCACAGAGTCGGTAGAACCGCTCGTGCCGGTCGTTCTGGTAAGTCCATCTCGTTGGTGACGCAGTACGACTTGGAGATGTACCTCAGAATCGAGGCTGTTCTTGAGAAGAAGCTTCCGAAGGACCCATCTCCATCCAGGGACATCTTGGATGCTTTGCATGTGCATGTGGACAGGGCCACGGCCGAGGCCATCAGACAGACAAAGGACTTCCACGACAAGAGAGGCAAGAAGAAGTCGAGAGACGATGCCGACCGGGAGGAGAAGTAGGGCAGTTGAAGGAAATGGTGATTCAAGGAAGAAAATTCATCTCGATAGCATATAGTCTAATTTATGAAGGTGGTGCATTGAGCTGTTTAGTATGATAAGTGAATTTGGTCTGTGATGCCTCTTCTTGATATCTGGAAATCTGAAAGTAGTTTCGTCAGGAAATAATTTCATCTTTAATGTCCAAAATTCGAGGTGATCGAATGAATGGCGCCTACACTTTGCTCTCTAATAAAATTAAAATATATCCATAGAAGTGAACCCTCGGTCGTAAGTCGTGGTCGGCCATGGCCATAACCTAATCTGTATCTGTCTGTCAGTGGTGCTGGAAATGCACAGGGCACTCGCCGTAGCCCTTCTTGTTGAACCAGTCCTTGATGCACTTGTAGTGGAATACACAGAGGCACTCAAGGCGGCCCACCTTATCGCCTGGCCGTAGCTCTTCGAGGCAAATGACACACTCCTCCTCAAAGTCCTCCTTCTCCTTGAGCTCCAGCGTCACCAGCCCCACGGGAGGCTCTTTCTGCAGCTCCTGCTCCTTCTGCAGCTCGTCGATGAACTCGTACGTGGGCTGTGGAAGAGGCGGCACATGGTACACCAACATCCTGTTTCGGACGTTCAGCAGCAGGGCGTTGGGCGGCAGCAGGAGCCGCTGGTGGGAGCCGCTGAAGTCAAACCGCACAAGGCAGTCGCTGATGTGGAACTCCTTGTACTGCTCGTATTCGGAGTGGGAGGTGTCTCTGTGCTCATGGCGTGTTTTCTTGACGTACGCCTTGAGGAGGTTGGTCCCGCAAACAGGACACAAGTTTTCGTCGTTGTTCTCCAGGCCAACCAAATCGCCCAAAGGTGGGCTTTCCTGGCGCTGGACAGGCACTGTGGCACTTTGGGTGGTGGTTTCCTCATCCTGTGGCTGTTCTGGAGGCGGCTCAAACAAAGCCCTCCGGATCATCTGGATCTCCTCAACACACTCGTCGCATGTTTTGTAAAAATCGCCGTCCGCCCGCACCAGCCCCGAAGGCGTTAGAACCCTGGAGCCTGGGAACCACTTGACTTTCTGGCTGGAACACAGGTTGCAGACCACACGGCCACATTTTCTGCAGTGGTGGCGGCGGTTGAAGATGGTGAAGGTTGTGTCACACACGACACACGCCGTGACGGCGCTGTCGGGCTGCCACGAGGTCAGGGACATGGGAAAAAGATGTTGGTGATGGAGTTTCCTGGAGCTCCGCCTATGGGGGTGTGGTCTCGTGAGCGGTCACGTGGAAGTCGCGTGACTCCGAAGCCCGACAGCACGGATTTGCCCGAGACCCCTGGGTTTTTTTATTTTGGCGGGTGTGTTTTTCGGTTTTTGTGGCGTTGGGGTGGTGGCTTGCTGCGTCTGATTGGCTGTCTGATGGGTGTGTGGTGAAAAGTCAGGGTGCTTTTGATGTGGTCTCGCGAGGCTGATAAGGCGAAGTAGGAGCCTTGCATGAGAAGGTGATAGGGTAGGATTTGTTTTGACAGGGTGGGGTGACCAAAAGGAGGGTTCAGTTGATGGACGATTTTTGAAAAGTTCTTCTTTTTTTTTTGGGAAACTCGAGGAATCTGAAAAATCACCAATCTGCATGGACTCATGACACTGTCACACGAGGAAAGCCTTGCAGCACTGCCTCGATTGACCCACAAACCCAGGAAGCTGTTCACCTCAGGTGTTTCAAAATCCAAAAATACTCCAACAGTATAACCTTTAAGCTTTCATTCTCCGAAAGCTAGACGATATGCAACAATACACACTCACCGAACCGACGAGCCAATCACCAAAAACCGTCCATTGTCCCAATGGATCCAACAATCACCAACAATCACCAACACAAAACCACGTCAAAACCCCTGAAACACTCCTAAAACATGTATTTATCTCCGCTGACCTTTTTGCACCAAAACGGAATCCCACTTCCTCTCACTTTTCCTTATCTCTGCGCATCTCTTATCAGTTGCAGCCATTTCTGTCAAAACATGCAAACACCAGATTTCATCGAACACACAAAACCCAAAATTACCCGCTACCGCTCTCGCCAGGACCCTCTGGATCGCCCCTTCGGGAAAGTCCCGGTGCCGCTAAACCGCCATATCAACCGCCTTGCGTCGCCAATTCCGTGCTTTATCGCTTATCTCGCAGATAAAAAGCCAGCCATGTCCGTCGTTCCACGCCATGGAGAAAAAAGACAACCAATCCGTGGAGGAGGCTCTGGTGGGCCTGGGCCAGGTGGACTTCCACGAATTGCACATTGAAAAATTCGGACTGACCAAACGAAAACTCACCGCTCGCCATGTGCTGCTTATGATTATAGGCCAGCTGATCGGCACGGGGCTCTTTGTGGGTGTGAAGACGCCGTTGATGACGTCGGGATCGTTATCGTTGTTTCTTGGTTTTTTCGTTTGGGCGGCCTCCATGATATGGCCGTTGATGTTGGCTACTGGAGAAATGTGCTCGTATCTTCCGGTTAGAGGAACGTTTTTGCATTTTGCAGCCCGCTGGCTCGATCCGGCTTTGGGCTTTGCCGTCACCATGATGTACTTGTACACGACGTTGATGTTCATTTGCGTGGAGGCGGTGGCTTTTGCTTCTGTGGCTGGATACTGGACCGACCTCAATCCTGCTGTGTTTGTTACCATTTGCCTTGTGACGATTCTCTTTTTCAACGTTTTCGGGGTCAACTGGTACGGCGAGGTCGAGTTCTGTCTGTCGATGTTGAAGGTGCTTCTCATTGTAGGGCTCATGTTCTTTGGCCTCATCACCATGTGTGGAGGTAATCCTCAAGGAGACGCCTATGGGTTTCGAAACTGGAACGAGGGTGGGCTTTTCAAGGAGTACCTTGTTCCTGGAGCCACAGGGAAGTTTCTAGGTTTCTGGAACGTCATGATCTTTGCTGCTTTCTCATGTGGTGGTCCCGATATGCTCGGTATGATATCTGGTGAAATTTCACAGCCACGGCAGAATATTGCTATGGCTGCCAAAAGGACGTATGTTCGGATTTTCCTTTTCTACGTTGGAGGCATCTTTTTCATGAACAGCATGTGTGCTTCCAATAACCCTGACCTCATTGCAGCCAGTGAATCTGGAAAAGGCGGTGCTGCTGCTTCTCCCTGGGTGATTGGTATAAAATCGGTGGGAGTTCACGGTCTTGATTCTGTTGTGAATGCTGTGGTTATGACGTCAGCCTGGTCTTGTGGAAACGGTTTCACATACGGTGCAGCTAGATCTGCCTATTCTGCTGCTTTGGCTGGTTACATTCCAAAAGTGTTTTCATACTGCCTCAAAAGCGGATGTCCTATAATTGCAGTGCTTTTCGCCATGGCTATAGGGTGTCTTTCATATATGACGTCTTCACAGGCTTCGGCTACTGTGCTTGACTGGTTCATCAACTTAGCAACGACCGGTTTGCTCTGTACATTTGCTGTCATGTGGATGTGCTACTTCAAGTTTAGGAAGGCGGTCAAAAAGCAAAAGTGTGATTTTGAAGACCCCAAGTACTACAAGGTCAGCAGTCTTTTGCACCCATACGTGACGTACTGGGCTGCATTCCTCAACGGCATTGTGCTTTTCTTTAACGGATTCTGGATCTTTTTTCCGGGCCAGTTCAGTGTGGCCAATTTGTTCACATCGTATTTTGCTCCTGTGTTCTTTGTGGTCTTGTTTGTCTTCTGGAAGGTTTGGAAAAAGACCCATTGGCGTACTGACGAGGAAGCAGATATTACTTCAGGGAAGGAGGAAATTGATGATGAAGAGGAAGCTGAGGCACAGGAATTGGCTTTGAAGCCTAGACGAGAAGGCATTTTTTGGAGGGTTTGGTATAAGTTTGCTGATTTCTGTTTTAGTTAGAGTCTGGGACCGATAGGATTGGAATAATGATAGAACGTGTATTCATGCGGAGTAGGGTGTCATAGGATGAAGCGTAGTGGTCAATGAAAGCTTCTTGATGTTTTTCGTTTTGATAATAATGGGCTTTCGGTGTTCTTGGGCACGTTGCCGGTGATCAGTGTCCAAAATGCGTAACAGGTGAGCCATGAGGGTACAGAAAAATTCACATCCAAAACGCCACAAAGAAAAAGGGTATCTAAACGGATGAACAATAAAGCTGCCACCCATCTAGGCCCGTATCCTGTTGGACTTTGGCCAATTTTGCAACCGTCCTGCATATGCAGCAACTCACTAGACGAGCGGAACTGGCCAAAAACACACACCAGCCACCTTCCTAGACATGTCTGACCGTCTCACACAGCTACAGATCTGTCTAGACCAGCTTGTGGCGCAGTTCAATGCCACCGTGAACTACGTCAACACGCAGGGAGATTTGGCTCCACTCGATGAAGACAAGACCTCAGTGATCAACTTGGCTGCTAATGCCCCACTTCCAGGAACAAAGAAGGAGGCGGCCACAGAACAGGCTAGTCAGGCTGCAAACTCTGAAGCAAGCGGCGCAACGTCGCGTCCAAAGCCATCGTTCGACAGCGTCATCAATGAATTGTCCACAGACATCATACTCAAGTCACGTCAAATAAGCATGCTTATAGACTCGCTACCGGGTATCGGCACGCTTCCAGAGACGCAGCTCAAGATCATCGGAGATCTAGTGGATGAGCTAGATGAGGTTGAAAAAGAACGTGAGGCCAAGATCAAGGAGAAGGATGAATTGCTCAAGTGGTGTGAGGAGCTCATAGTGGATGTCTCACACGGCATCTTCAAAACAAGAACGTGAACTTATGCATGGTATGCTGTGCAATCAAAGTCCCAACCAGGGAACCATCTTGCGGCCTCGCATTGTGCCCTCGTCCAGCTCAGGCCATAGATCAATGGGAAGAAGGTCACAAAACAATAAAGCGAAGCGAGCGCTATCAACGTCAAGATGACAGCACCAGATACACGTTTCTTGCTCATCTGGTACTCTGCAAACTGGGCGATGGCCAAGACCATGAAAAACACACTAGTGAGGTAGTGGTGGCTGTACAACTGCCTGTCCATTTGGAAGTAAGGGAAATAGTTCAAAACCCAGCCAAGAAGGAAGCTGGCGGTCGAGTAATAGTACACTGTCGTTGGTACGGCTTCCACGGGGATGTGGAACGGATTCAAGTGCTTGAGCACATAGAAACCGAACTTAATAGAAAACGACACAATCAAGAAGATGCCCAAGTAGTGAATGGCGATATTGCCAATGGAGTAGACGTTGCTACCGGGTTCGTCCGATAATGTTTTGTCGGCGCTGCCACTTGTGAAGAAAGCAATGCCTTTGGTGACAAACGGCCATTCATAAGGAAGAGTAGCATACTTGTGTGGCTTGACGAATGCCTTGTTGAGTCTCCACATGGCGTTGTGATACTCAAGCAACTTCTCGTAAAGCAGCATCTTTGGAAGCTTCACGCGAGGGTATTTCTCAGTATCCTTGTCAATAATAGGATGGCTGTTGTGCTCAATGTACCAGAGGGTGTTTGGCATGGTAGGCTCGTTAACGCAAAAGACCTGGTACTGGTGGAAAGCCCAGTCTGGAAGCCTCGTGTCGTGACCCATAAGCACACAATTGGTGCCTCTGTGGACCAACTGGAACACAGACTCTGTAGCTCTCAACTTGATGTTAGGTAACTGGTTTTCAGCGTGAGGCTTGCGACCAACGATTTTGACCTTCCACTCGTAAGCGCTCTCCTGGGTGTCCGTTCTGTTGCCTTTACAGGAGACCTCGTTGGAGTAGTCGTGCTCAGAGTTTGGTGGTCTCATGTTGTTGGCACGCAAGTACTTGTGGGTGAATTTGTGGTACAACTTGACGTGGTCACCGTCCTTAATAGGGCGGAACTTGGTGTCGAACTTACCATCGTAGTTGGTTCCAGTAGTCTCAATGACCCACTCGTTGTTGGCATCAAAATCGTAATCGTACATCGTCACCTGCTGCTCTCCAGTGCCAGTTTTGTAGGTAAAGTTGTGGGAGTGCAAGTACAGGTTGAGACGGTGGTGCTTGAGGGTGATGGTGCTGCCGTAGGACACATCCACGGCCGTTTCCTTCATTTCACTTGAGTCAATGAACTGTGCTTTGAAACGAGGACTGACCAACCCGGCATCAGTACCGCCTCTAGGCAACAAAATGAAGTGGAGGGAGAAAATTCCACAGTAGATCGTCAATGGAACAAGCAAGAAAGCCACAAGACGGCTGAAGATGTGTTTCAAGAACTGCTTCACCAGGACCTCGAGATCACCAGAAATGAGGTAGATCTGGTACGCTGACAAAGCACCCACCCACGCAAGAGTGAACAAGCCGGTGAGCTTCACAGACGTGGCAAGTCCAAGCAGCATACCCGTGAGGAACAAATACCTATACCAGTTCTTCGAGAATGGGATAGAGACCTCAAACAGCTTGTAGAAGTACACGGTTGCCGCCACAAACGCCACAAGCTGGCTATCAAGCATAATGTAGCGGGACTGTGTGGCCAAAGAGTTCTCCACAAGCACCAAGAAGGCACCAAAGAACGCCACAAACGGTCTGCAGCATGTCGACCTCAAAATGCCGTAGGTAAGCAAAACGGTGATCATTCCAGCGACCGCCGAAACGGCTCTCATGGCCACGTAAGGCACATTTTCATCAAACGCGTCGCCGATGTTCTCAAACTCAAACTCTCCGTTCCAATTGAACAAAACGGCCACGGCGTAGAAGATGAGTTTTCCGAGTGGCGGATGGACATCGACGAAAAACTCTCCGTGGAAATATTTTCTTGCAAAACCGCCAAAATGCACTTCGTCAAACACAACCTGCGACGGAGAAGGAAGCCTGTAGAACCTCAAGACAAACGCCAAAGCAGCGATAAGAAAGACGTAGAAGTGGTCGAGTTTGGAGCTTTTCACCGCCGCGAGCACCTGCTCAGGCACCGCTGACGAGTAGAAGACCCGTTTTTTGCCGGGCTTGTAGCCTGGAGGTACTTTTTCCTGCATGCCTGCTTCTGTCAATTGAAGTGGAGGTGTACTTGTTCAGGTGGACCAGGTGCGGTGTATCCAGGCAGTGCAGGAATATCACCAGTGCATTGGAGGGCCATTGCACATGGCGATGAAAGATGGGATTTATTTTTTTTAAGTTCTTACCATTGAGAGTTTATGTTTTTATTTATTTTGAAGATTTTATTAAAACTTGTTCGGAGAAAATGTATCGGGGTTCCGACTGTGGGGTCTAGTAGTGGTTGTAATGTGATTAATTGGATGCCTTTTTAGAAGTCAAAAAGATTCTTATATACTGATTCTCGAGCAATTGACTAATAAAGTAAAGTTTGAGAGAATTGACGCTTTGTTGCCGATTTGGCTCGACTTTGTCGAATTCAACACCTCAATTGATGAATCCCATATATCGTATCCATAACCAACATAAAAGACAAATGCAAGTGAAAGCACCAAATTACATATCCTTTTCAAAACCAAACAGTAAAAGAAGCCTTCCTTCACTCAAATCCAACAGTAAAATAGCCCTTCTTCACCCAAAACGAAAATCATACCTCCTACAGTTTCTAACCAATTTCCTAGTAACCTATGTAGAGTCCACCCTGGCGCTCCTCAAGCTCCAGCGCTATGAAAGAAACATACTCGGAGCTCGGGTCCCAGCCGAGCTTGGCCGTGCACCGCACAAACCGTAGATTAGGCAAACGCTCCTCGGAAAGCGCCAACGCCAAGTCCACAGGGTCCACCTTGTCGTTCGTGCCGAGCATGCCGCTGCTGCTGATGAAGAGCCGCCGCAAGGGTCGTTTGAATGTAAGCGGAGGCAACAACTCGTCGTCGAAAAAGCTCTGCAGAAGATAATCAACTGTCACCTCGAGGGTCTGCAAGTTGGGACAATAAATAAAAACGGTATCGAGAGAATTGGCCTGGAGGCCAGGCATGGGGAACTGGATGCGGAGCGACTTGAGGTTGCCGCCGAGTTTCATGAGGAGATGCTGGAAACCCAGGTGGGCCACTTTGGGGCAATGGGCAAACTCCATGTGTTTGATGGACAGCGGGAAATCCGACTGGATGAGAAAGTCGTCGGAGATGCCGCCCGAGACCCGTAGAAACTCAAGCTTGGGAGGCCAGCTGATGCTTGAGTAGTTTTCGATTTCCAACGACGACCGTGGGAACAGAAGGTGGGTGAGCTGTTTGAGGTCCCGGATCGAGTGGAAGAGTTCTTCGAGATTGAGCGTTTCGGAAACCAAGCGGAGGTCCAAAATACGCAAGTGTTCACAGCTCCGTAGCGCTATTAGCGGGCCGAGGCCAAAACTGGTCTGTGGAGCTGTGAAGGCTTCAAGAAAGGGACGAGATCGTTTGAGGAGTTTAGCCACAAAGGCGTTTTTGCCCAGCTGGTTGACCGACGACAAGTCCAAGTCTCGAATGTAGCTGCCAATGGTGTTTTTCCCGGAAATCGTGTCGACAAACTGGAAAAAGTTGTTTCCGTTGAGCACAGGCCGTCTATACACCAACGGCAACGTGATGGCATAGAAAAGCTTCAGCAAGCGGAGAAACCGAGGCTTCAATCGGTTCTGGTACAAGAGAATCTCTAAGATGTGCACGATGATCTCCACCGGTAGCGAAAGCCCGCCTTTTCTGGATTCCGCTTCCTTCTTGGCTTCCGCTTCCCTGACCGCTTGTCTGTACTCGTCCGAATTGCTGTACAAGCACCAAAAAAGCACATCGACTTTTTCAAATTGCAGCCGAGGCCACACTTTGCCCTGGGGTCGCTTGTCCTCGGTCAAAACGAACACCTCTCTGATGTTCCCGTTCGTCTTCCTCAGAAAGTCCTCCCACGAGGCAAACCCACTGGGCGTGGGGGTCTGTTCCTCATCTTCTTCATCCGAGTCCTTGGCCGTGAAACTCAGCCGATACACATATTTTCGGTACGGGGGACGGATCTTTTTAGCCCTTCTTTTGTTGGCCATTTTAGGGCCAGTAGATGATGGTGAGTGTGATGCCGGCACACACGGCTGCAAACTGGGTCGGAGTGGAGGGTGTAAGGGAGATTGGGGTGGGTGATTTTCTGGGGATGCGGGGGTATTTATAGTTTTTGGTTTTGCAGAGGTTGTTGAAAAGGGGGTGTTTTGGGTGATTCAGGGTTTTGTGGGTTGGTGGTATGGTGGATGAGCTCCAGCTTAGTAATGGTGATGCGCAACAGATGAGGTGAGGTGGGCCTGGATTTTGATAGTGGATGGGTTTTTATTTGTTGATGGAGGTTATTGGGATTTGATTCGTAATATTAAGAAAACCTTGAAGATTGGATTTACTGGGATGTGGCTTATCGTATAGGGTGCTCGCTTATGTATGGGCATCGAACCCGCAGCAACACACTACAACCCATAGTCAGGTTACTGGTTTTACTATGATTTGGTCTAGATAAACTGAGGCTATTATTTTGGTTCAGATAAAGAGATATGTCACTACGGGTGCCATTCATCTGATCGCATATTATTATCTCCTTACATATGTTCCATGGCTTCTTCAACGCCATTGGCTCACAAAACCTCAACAGGACTGGGATTGGAGCGTGCTGAATCCTCAATCTCCACCTGAAGGAGCCTCAAGAACTTCCTAAGCAACTTCAACGTCACTCGGTCGCGGAGAAGGGGAAGTGAGTGTGACATCCGGTACTCGTAGAAGCTGATGTTCTTGTAGTTAGAGTCGCTCATGAACTTCACAAGGAGCCTGGCCGGCGCCGCGATGGTGATTTTGAAAATCACAATAGGGATGAAAAGCGTGAGCGAAATGTAGAGCCGTGTTGCCATGATAGGAAGCCTGAACAACATGAACACCACTCGGAAAGTCAACCACAAGGGCGTGAACACAAACACATTGGCAAAAAACCAGACGGTGAAAAGCTCCAGCATATCCATCTGGCGAGCTGTCTCAGCGTAGTGCCATGCTGACTCGTAGCAGCTCTCCTTGAGATTGGTTAGTTTTGAACGCACCTCGCTCCAGTCGTCTTGCACCCTCTGCTTGTGGAAATCGGTGATTCTCTCCATACGGCTGAGAGCTTCGTCGGAGTCGTGGGAACGAAAAACCTTGAGAGGCAGCACTGGCAGCGAGGGGGTCAGGGGCAGAGGAGTGCTCATATCTTTGAGGTGCAATTCTCTGAATTGCTGGCGGGTAAGGGAGAGATTGGACTCGGGGATGGTTATCCCTGTCACACTCACTCTACCTGGGTTTTCCTTCAGCGCTGGCTCCTCGAAAGGCTGTTCCAAGATTTTGTTCAATGGCTCGGTCTTGGCTTTAGCGACCATCAACTCTTCCTTCAACGAGCGCTTGACTGGCTCCTCGACGATACTCTCTTGGGTCTGTTCTTGATCTTCGACAATTGGCGAGAGGGTGCCCTGAGAGTCGTCCTTTCTTCTGAAGCTTGTGCCTGTTAGGGGAAACGGGGTAAACGAGACGGACTTTGGTTTTTCCGGCTTTGAGGCCTTCTTCACATCGCTGAAGCACGACTTTGGCTTCATAGCTTGCGTTTCAGGGATCATCACAAGCCGGGAAGATCTTTTGGGCTTCGTGGCTGGCTTGGAAGGAGTCCTATTAGCAGCCGTCTTGGCTTTCATGTTGAGCTTCTTTGGCGTGAAAGGCGACTCCACCTTTGAAAGCTCCTCCTTGTGCTGCTTTGGGCTCATTGTGGGTAGCTCCACGGGCGACTCCAGGCAAAACATATCAATGTAGTAGGAGAGGTTATTTTCGGTGACACAGCTCTCGGAAGTGGTTGTTTTTGCAAACGTGATGGACGCCTTGAGGGAGTCCAAGTACTGCAGCGCAAGCTTGAAGAAGCTCCAGACAACATAGAGAAGAATTGTTGAGTTGGAAAACACCTGTGAGTTGTAGATGTCCGAGGAGATCAAGTAGTTTCTTGTGACCCACATCAACGCAGCGCCCGCAACGGTACCACCAATACCGCCAAGCCAGGCAATCTGCTCAAGTCTCATGAGTCTCTGAGCCACCACCAAATTGCTCACGAAAATCCTTCTGTTGAGCGCCATCTCCGGTAGGAAGAAGGTCTGGCCGATTTCGATTTTCACCAGATTCACGAAATTCAACAAGCTTGTTCTCACCTGCTTCAAGTGTCTGACCCAGCGTTCTGGCCAGTTGGAGAAGAAACGGACAACCCACGCCACAAGCACCAAAGTGACAAGATCAGAGAGAAGCGTGGGCATGTGGACCTTTTCACTGCAGATCACCGAGGCAAAAGACGGGGCTAGAATCATGGCCATGGTGATGGTGTCGTAAGGGTGCCTTGTTTTGGGGAAGTTGTGCAGAAGCATATCCATAAACAGCTCCTCTGAGCCGTAGTCTGCCATTGAGGAGGGCAGCATCTGTAGATCGTAAATTGGGTATGGAGCGAATGGAATGTGCCTAGAATAGAAGTCGGCGTAGTAAGGCAGGGGGGTCAATTAAGTCAACGTGTCAAATGAGCCAACAATTAATAGAATTGAATCTTGAGGAAGAAAGACCAGGTAGGGATGGAAGGGAGACCCGATCTAGCCGTGTCTGATTCTGGATTTGGAAAAAATCAGGGGTGTTCCAGGAGACGTGTAGCAAAGTGCTGGATGATTCAGATTTAAAAACCCACCAGAAAAACCCAAAAATCAGCTTCTCTCGAAAAGAACGAAATGAAGTAAATTTAAAAAAATGGGAGTTCCAGGATGGCCTGGGTCCTGGGTCTTATAGGCTGCGGCGCTGCTGCAGGGCGCCCTTGGCGAGGATCTTTGATCTAGACAGGGCTGCAGGGCCAGCCGCATTTGGACCGATCCCGCCGGTAGTGTCAAGGAGACATGATCTGGAAAATGTAACAATACAACCTTGTTAATTGAAGCCTCCTGATTATGGCAATGTAAATTGTATGTTCTGGAGCCCACTGTAGCCCGAGATACGGGGCCCCTTGTCTTCTGCATCCACGGTACCGAGGCAGCACACCCGTACACCCGAAACAGCACCAAACCAGACCT